GATGAGTAAATGGAGAAAGAAGGAATTCAAGATCCGGTTCCCTTAAGAGAAAGGACGCCTCATCCAACATGCGTGTACTGAAGCGCAGCCTTGGGAGGAGCTGTTAGAAAGCGGCAGATGTTGGCTAACGAACTGGGGCAGGGACACAGCTGCATATTGACCCACATTAACCTGTCTGTTACTTGAGGGCCGGTAGTAAGAGACGTTTGCAGAAACATTCCAGTCTGTGCCATGAGCTGTGTCGCTCTGTAAAATTTTGCCTTGGCCATCTCATACCTCCTCACACCGCATGTGAAGGAACAAGATTTTTCATGGCCTACTTTTCCTGGTTATATAAGATTCTAAACATGGTTATGCCCACATGAGGACTTTAGTCCTTAAGAAAACGTTTCTTCTCAGGTTGAACTGGAATATTCTGAGATTGAATGAAATAGAGTTTGTACTTTTAAAAACTATTCTGGAAGCAAAATGTAGATGACACTATCTATTCAACTGGTATTTCAGGTGGCGATTTAGGAAACAAATTCTAAGAAGCGATGATAACTGAAAAGAAATGTATTTAGCCGAATTTAATAGTAACTTGCTTTGCATGTGTTTGTTGAAATAATTACATGGATTTATTTTTATATCTTTTGCATTATTTCAAGTTTATTTCTGCATATTTGGGTGCAAGCTATAAAAATGTTTATATATTGAAAAGTGCCCCTTAATGATAATAAGGAATTTGTTTTTGATTTATTAGTTGATGCTACTTGAATCAATGGGTAACTCTACTTGAATAGTTGAAGATACGGATTTTATTTGTAACTTATAATAATAAACCAAATTATATAAGTATATGACTAAACCATGCAGTGTGTTTTTATAAAAACCTATTTATAATGTATTTTACAATATTCTATAAACTATTAGAAGTATTATTTTTGTATTGTGGTGTTCCATCACTTAGAAAATGATATTGGATGGAACAAGAAATTTTTTTTTGTAAATGAAATTATAGTTCCATAAGGAGATTGATTTTATGATCACAGTGTTTTCATTTCCACTTTCTCATTGTTCATTTTTTATACCTTGGCTAGCTAATCTTTAGCATCAGCCAAAATGTCACTTGTCTATTGTAAATTACCCTAATTGGTGAGTGAGAAAAGTTTGTGATATCTGCCAAATTTTAGGGGGTGAAATAATTACGATTTTCTCCTAATTCATATTTTGTCCCTAAAATGATGTTAATAAATGAGAAAAATCAGTCATAAAAGAGAAAGTACAGTCATTCTTGCTCATAATTAAAGAGAACAGGATAGATAAAATTCAAATTATTTCTTTAACTGCTCATTGACTGTTGCTTTATATACAATTAAAATGAAGCTGAGTAACCCTCAGAAAAGTTGTGAAACATGTTTGGAATCCATTTCAGAGGTGGTAAACTTTTTTTTCTTTTTAAATATATTTTTATTTACTTATTTTGGGTGGGGGCAGAGGGAGAGGGAAAGAGAATCCCAAGCTAACTCCCCACTGAGCACCAGTGCGGGACTTGATCTCATGAGATCAGAAATCCAAAGTTAGATGTTTAACTGACTAAGCCACCTGGGTGCCCCAATAAATTTTGTCTTGTTTTGTTTTTTTTTGTTTGTTTTTAATTTTAATAATTGTTAGGAGAATCTTTAAGTTCTTAAAAATGTGCTGATGGTATCTGTTGGTTAGTTTCTAGATAGGTATCAACATAAAAGTGTCAGTTTAAATTCCCAGTAGTAAAGATGGTGTGCTGATGGTGTTCAGTTTTTCTTTTCTTTCAGTAAACTCCATATATGGAAATTTAACTCAATATATCACATAACTTATAAATGATACTTGTTTTCTAAAAAGTTTTTAAACCTATGAAATAAACTCTAGGATTTCTTTAGCAAATTCCTTTATAAGAGTATGATTAAAGCTGTTGCTGCAACTTTTAAACAGTTTGTATCTCCTGTAAAGTAAGGTTTTATATTAAATATTTGCAGACTATAGAAGAATTTTTGCATTTTGCTTTTGGGGAAATTCATTCTTTAAAAAATGTAATTATACATGGATACATTCCTATTGTAAAAGATTCAAATACTGCCAAGATCTAGAGAGCAAAATATGACTATTTACATTCCTGCCCCCCCTTATATCTGTGTCCCTCCAAGGTAAAAACTGTTAATAGTTGAGTATGCATCATTACAGCACAAATTCTATCTGTTTACAAGCAACTCATTAAAAAGTAAAAAATGGGATCATAATATATATTCTTTTAACTTGTGTTGGAAAAGATTAACATCTTTGGAATTAAAGAGATTTGATTTGTGAGTTCAGGGTCACTGTTTTTTGGACAGTCTGTCTGAGTAGACTCTGCTCAGTACGAGTCTCCCCCAGTTATTCTAGCATTTTGTTGGTCTGGCATCTCTGAGGAATGGGAAAGGTGTTCATGAGAGAGTAAAACAATTGTATGAAAGTCAGTTCACTCATCAACAAGCCAGAAATATGGTTTAAGAAATAGGCATCCTTTTTCCTTTTATAAGTGCTTGTCAAGGGCTCCTGGGAGGCTCAGTCGGTTTAACACAGGGCCTCATCTCATCTCTGGGATGAACCCCAGCAGGCTCCTCCCCTCCTTGTGCTTGCTTGCTTTTTCTCTCTCTCTCAAATAAATAAATCAAAAATTAAAAAAAAAAAAATGCTTGTCAGGTTTGTTCTCCTTTTTGTATGTTTCTGCTCATTACTAGTTTGGCCACATATTTGCATTTCTCATATTAGCCGTATGTAAATGTTAAAAATACCTTATATTTTTAATGGATTCCGATCTTTTATATTTTATTTTCTCTCTTATTTGACCTTCTGTGTTTTTCTCCTGTTTTGACCCTAACGTTTTAGAAAAGCATGTTTCGTGGTGATTTGTTTAGGACAGAATTTCTCAACCTTGGCAGTTTCGACATTAAGGACCAGATCATTTTTTGTCATCCAGTGGGGGAAGAGGGTACTCCGTGCATTGTAGCATGTTTAGCAGCATCCCTGGTCTCTTTCTTTTTTTTTTTTTAGAAAGATCACAAGTAGGCAGAGAGGCAGGCAGAGAGAGTGAGAGGGAGAAGCAGGCTCCCTCCCTGGTCTCTTTCTAACCCTAAACCAGTCCATAACGTGTTTTGAAGTCATTAGAATTGTGGGAAACACAGCACTATTAAACCTTCGCTCCATGTATGTATAATTGACTTTAACTCACTTCATGGTAGATATGTATGTTGTGTATTAGGAAAAAATGTGGAAATATTTGCTGATGAAGAGGCCTCTCCAATTTGAAAGAAGTGCCCTTCCTTACCTATTCAATCAGAAACCTGAAATCAGACCTTTCCTATGTCATGATGAAAGTTTATTTACCACATTACTTCTTTGTACTTTAAAAAGAAATGCATTTGGGCTAGTGCAGTGCCACATATGAACGTGTTTTCGGAGGTGTTGAACAAAACAAAACCTGCTTCCAGAATAGATGCTGCCTCATTAGATCTGGATACACACAGATTTTTCTCACATGAAACCCCTTAACATTTATCTTCAAATGTGTGATATTCAAATGTGTAATATTCAGTTTAAATGGAGATAACATAAACTAAGATTTTAACGTTTTATCTTAAATTTGCAAAGCTTAGTGAAAGTGTTTTAATAATAAAACTCCTATGTAGTATCTAGGACTGTTTTCAGACACATTTATCTTTGAAACTTAACATTTTGGTACCTCTCCCAAAAATGGGCCAAGAGCAAAAACACTGACCTTCACAGTGAAATTCAGTCTACTTCAAACAATCTTTCCTGTATCTTTAGACCTAATGGTCTAATTTCCGCCCTTGGTATATATTCTTGCTTAATTAATTTCCTGTTGAATTTAAAATGAATTCATACTCTAGGCAATTTTTTAAAAAAGATTTTATTTATTTATTTGACACAGAGAGAGATCACAAGTAGGCAGAGAGGCAGGCCAAGAGAGAGGAGGAAACAGGCTCCCCGCTGAGCAGAGAGCCCAAGGTGGGGCTTGATTCTAGGACCCTGAGATCATGACCTGAGCGGAAAGCAGAGGCTTACCCCACTGAACCACCCAGGTGCCCCTATGGGCTATTTTACAAGAACTGTTTATTTCTAGCTTTTCCCAACATGTGTTTAACTCACTTCCTTTACAAGAACAGTACTTAACTTTTTTTGAAGTAAAAATTTGAATGTGAAATCCAAGCATTGAATTCATTTAAAGTACCAGTTTATTTTGCTGTTTTCAATACATGTTACAGAAATCTGTAGTTTCTGATTCTGCTTTTACAATTTCTATTTTTCTTCCTCAGTTTTAAAGATCTGAAAATGGCAGATCCAATAGAAAGATGACATATTTTCAAGCTAATATAAATCACATTCTAGATATCAGCATTCTATTTAATACTGATTCTGACTAAATAGACCTGATTCTCCATAAACTTGAGATCAAGTAAAAGTTATTAAAAAGTAATAATTCTGATAAAAATGTCACTGTTTATTGGATATTAAAATCTGCGCAATCTCCTGCTAAAACAGTTTATTATGTTTATGTTTATTGTATCACTGGAAATATTTGAATATCATTTGTGCAGCCTTTAATATTTTTATTCAAATAAACTTTTTTTTAAAACTTAAATGTATTTAAAAGGGAAGTATCCTGTCGTGGTCTGTCGTGTTTCAGTGTGTACTAAAATACGTAGTGAGTCAAAAAGGGTTACAGGCAGGGTTACTCAGGAGTCACTTAAAGTCGTCTCCCGTATCACCTGCCACATTCTGGGAAACGCTGATTTGAGGGCAGTAATTTGTGAATTATAAAAGTTAGGCTTTGATTTGCAGAGTCTTCAGATTATACGTAGGAATTTTCCAGAACGTGACCAACAATTCTCCGGCTTCATTATTTAATCATTAGTTAACACTTTGTGTACAGCGATCTGCACACAACAGGAGCCGTTGCAGAGCGGAGTGGAGTTCCGTACGTTTGTGTCCTCCAAGTGTCGGGAGGGGGCGGCCGTCGGCCGGGAGGCGCGATGGTGGCAAGTACCCGCGTGGCCCCATGTGGCGTTCGCAGGACGTGAACGTTAGTAGCACCTCGGAGCGAAGGACGGAGTCGAGCTGGGCTCGGGGTCCGCGCGGCGCCGCACGTGTCCCCCGGCCTCGGGACTGCGGCCTCCTCTCCGGTTCGCGCCGCACACGGCCGCGGAGGGCAGCCCTTGCGCGTCCTCGCTTGGCTCTGGGCGGCGCAGCTCGCGGTTCACAGAGACCTCGTGGCGGCGGGTCCGTCTGCTGCCGCCGCCGTCCGGAGCCTGCGTCCGGCCGCCCCGCGCCGCGCGGTCCGAGACGCCCGCTGGCCGCCGCTCCTGCGGTTGGCGTCTCCCCTCCTAGTCGCCTGCGGCCCCGCCCGCTCCGCCCTCCTGGTCCGGAGCCGCCGACTCTCCCTCCGCAGAGGCCGTCGCGTCTCCTACCTGCTTGCGCCGCCCGCCGCGGTCCGCGCTGACCGGGCGGCCGCCGGGGGCTCGCCAGGTCTCCCCGCTTCCCTTGTCCTCTTCTTGGTCACTGACCGTTTCCGAAGAGCAGAATAAGCTCACGTGTCTGTCAGTCTGTCCGGGTCCGCGCTCCTCCCGGGCTCCGCGCTCCTCCCGGGCTCCGCTCTCGCGGGACCTCCGCGTCCCCACGCCAGCGCGACGTGACGCCCGTCCCCTCCGCGAACGGCCTCGCTCTGCCGCTTTCCTCCCCGGGTCTGACAGCCGGAGGCGGTCTCCGCGCACAGGACCGACAGGCTTGCGTTTGTTTTACTTTTTATTTACTTTTTGGAAAAGCATGAATTTTAGACCCGGACACTGCTCTGTTCCCTGTGTCGCTGCCGTGAGCGGGGACCGCGCTGGGCTGTTCCTCCTCCGCGTTCCAGGGGCTCCGTCCGCTGCGCGCGAGCTGGCCGGCGGCGACACATGTTGGCAGCGCGAAGAACCACTCACTCATGAGGAGACGGTTCGTTACTATTAGTTCAAACGACGTCCTGGAGTCCGTGTCTCTGCCACCACCGACGGACGCTTTCCTTCCCCGGTCACGTGCACACCGCGGAGGAGTCGTGTGTGGGAATCGGGCGACAGTGCACCACGGCGGTGACGCTCGAAGATTGCGTGCGCGCGGGGACTGAGCCGTCGTCGTCTACCGCGGTTGCTTTCCTGTTTTCCAGTCCGTCCGCGCCCACGAAACGCAGGGTGCGTCCCGGGCCGTTAGACTCCTCTGCGGTCACTGAAGATCCATAACGCGAATTTCCGGTCTTTACAAGACAAACTGCCTTGACGTGGCGTCGGGAGATGCTGGGACCTCGCGGTCCCTCATCCTCCCGTGTGCGGCGAGTGGCGTCCGGGAAACCGGGCATGCTGGACGGCGGACACCCAGTGACTGACTTGATACTGTAATGATTGAGTCACGAGGTGAGGCTCCTGGTGACAAGTGACAAATGACAAAAACCAGAAAAGGGATTTAATTGTAAGACATCCTAATCCCTGAACAAGTCTGAGCCCTCGGGGCGCCTGCGGGGCTCCGTTGGTGAAGCGTCTGCCTTGGGCTCAGGTCGTGACCCCGGGGTCCCGCGGTCCAGGCCCGCATGGGGCTCCCCGCTCGTGCTCGCTCTCATAAAATCTTCCAAAAAATAAGTCCAAATCCTCGTGCCGTGGATGCACAATGGCGCCCGCGGTCACTCCGAGCGCTGTTCTATCTACCTGGGACCAGTGAAGGCCCGACTGTCGCGCCGGTTTCCTGCATCGGTTGAGGAGGCTCCGAGGCCCCGAGTCATTGCCGTCGCCTTCCGAGCGGAGCCTGTTGCGGCTCGTGCCTCGCGGACACACGGAGTCCCGACAGGCACTTCCGCGCCGTCTCCTCGTCTCCTCAACAAGGATTCAGGGGAAGCTCCTTTGGAATCTCCCTTCTCGCGTGGCTGCTGAGTTTTATTCAGGGAGCAGCTTAGGAGCCTCCAAGCTTGTACCTCAGCCTCATGACTTCACGCGCTCAAAACCGGTTTCCTGTAGAAGCTTTGTCTCGTGTCTCCTCGGAAATCTGCGGCCCGTGTGCGGCGCTACACGCAGCTGCGCGCCGGGGCGTTGACTGCCGAGCGGACGACTGCCGAGCAGACTTGCTGAAACGCGTGTGCTGACGCGTGCGCGGCCATGTGCCCGGGAGATCCCGCCGGTCTGCGGGCGCCGCCTGCGCGGGACACTGGCGCCTGCCCTGGCCGAAACGCGCGAGGCCGGGCGGTAGGGGGCGGACTCCTGGAGAAGGCGCTCGTTCCCGGTTGTAGCTTTGCGTGTGAGGAGATACTGCAAGAAAACCAAGTATTTGTGTGTGCCGGTTGTTCCTTCACGCCTTGTACAGCCTTATGTCGGGTCAATATAATTATATTAAGTTAGATTTGATTTGTTGTTTCCGTCAGAGATTCATATTGTGCTTAAATTATGTCAGAAAGGGGCGCCTGGGTGGCTCAGTGGGTTAAGCCGCTGCCTTCGGCTCAGGTCATGATCCCAGGTCCTGGGTTCGAGCCCCACATCGGGCTTTCTGCTCAGCAGGGGGCCTGCTTCCTCCTCTCTCTCTGCCTGCTTCTCTGCCTACTTGTGATTTCTCTCTGTCAAATAAATAAATAAAATCTTGAAAAAAAAACAAAAAAACAAACAAACAAAAAATTATGTCAGAAAAAAAAAATCCATGGTTTCTCTCCTGAACGAGTGTATTCAGATTGGCCGTAACTCCCCAAGTTCTTGATCGCTCCCTTAGGTGTGGTAATGATACTGCTGGAGTGGTCTTTCTTGAATTTTAAGAGGAAGAAGTAACTAGTTTGAAATTTTACTTTCATTTTATTTTATGGTGAATTTTTTTTTCTAGCTTTCTTTTTATAATTCTTAATTTGGAAATAATTTCAAAGCTAGAATAAATTTATAAGAATAGTTGAAGGGATTTCTTTCACTTGTGTTAACCTATTGTTAATAACTTGTCTCATTTATGTTGTCATCGGTTCGCCCTCAGCGTTTTTGTGTGCATGTGGAGTGTACACACGTCTGTAATTGTTCTCCGCCGTTTGAGGGTGAGGGTTTTTAATTATTTTCTCAGTAAGCTTTTTTATCTCCTTCATTTTTGAATATCCACGTTCATGATTTCAGTAAGACATTTTGGTCTGATTTAGTAGTGGTACTCAAACAGCATTCTAATAAATTTGCTTTTCCATTACTAGTAATTTTTATTCTGGCTAAAAATCTTTCATGGCCCATGGGGGCATCTGTGGAACAGTGGAGCCAGTATGTGCTTTCTCTCCTCCCTACCTTTGAGGTATTCTGGCCTGTAGTCGCAGAGCAGGGGGTGAAGCAAGGGGTGGTTCCCAGAGAGGACGGTGACAGCTCTCCACAGGATAATGTCCGCGAATTGGAACAGAACAACCGGCTGACCTTGTCCCTTAGCATGCGGTCATTACTTGCAATTTAAAGGTAGACATTTTAGCCTGAAAATTACATACTGAGTAACAGATATTTCTCCGCTCTTACTCTTCAGAGATCCTTGACTTTTGAGTGTTTAGACTGATGCTTTGTCTTGCTACTCACTTCACCGCTCTTCCCGTGTGCACTCCGAATGCCTGGATGGCCTCTGTGTCCTGCAAATGCAGTTCCGGGAGGACAGTGCGAACACTCGCTCGGCAGTTTTTGCTGCACTAGAGAAGGCTTTTAATACATGCTGACCCGTGTAAATGAGGTGCCCACACAGCTGCTGTTCTGTTCTTGTCAGCTTGTGCTTTAAATCTGCGGAATCAGCAGGGTGGGGCCCTGGGTCACCTGATGGGATGCTCGAAGTTTTCTGTACTTTGTGTTACACATCTTGAGTGTAGAGCTAATATTTATATATTTATAATCTGTAAAAACTATAGGAGTTTATAACATTTTAATAACCTGTTATATATCTACTATTGAATCCTCAATACTTTACCTTTATTATCTTTAATTTTTACTAAAATCTTACAAAGTAAGTGAAGTTATCACTGTTTTACAGAATAGAAAAATGAAGCTTAGAGAGTTAAAATAATTTGCCTTTTAGGTAATGATATCTCCCTTCTTTGGGAAATGGGAGAATTAAGGCACCATGTCTGCAGCAGCCCACGCAGATGCTGGCACATAGTAGCCCCTCAATAAATGACCATTTCATTACACTCATCACTGCCAGTGTCTCAGCTTGGGGCGTGGCCAGGGGTCAGCCTGATCTGGACCTGCACACGGTATGGACTGTGTTTGCTGCCTTCTGAAGTACACACGAGTGACGCTTGACCCTGCGTCATGTATCTGTGCTCTCAGTCATTGCAGGGAAGCCAGGTGTCAGTGACCTGGAGCGGTTCTGTCACTGGCTCTACATCCCAAGCAGCACTTTCATTATGACGGTTGACACTGTGCTTCAGGCTGACGACCCTGTTCCTCGAAGCTCTGCACCAGAAGGGGCTGGTGTGCAGATTGAGCTCAGCTCCACAGACTGTGCTGCGCTGCCGTCTCGGCGGACTCGGCCTGCACACGGCACCGGCCTGTGGCAGAGAGACTGACACACGCGAACGCAAATGATTCTCGTTAAAGTGGGCTGAGGGCTTGGACTGAGCTCTGGTCTCTGTGTGGCATTTGCATCAGATTTGAAAAGCAGATGGCCTGAGCGCTGTTTCAGCAGAAGGCCAGTGAGCAGAGAGCTGGTGTCAGATTCCAGATAAACCACAAGTTTACATTTTGCCTCGGACCGTTTTTATCAGAGAGTTCTGTGTTTTACAAGTGCTCACATGAGGGCAAGATGCCTGGTGTACAGAACATGCATTTGATGAATGCCCCAGGGAATCACGATAGGGAGATGAGAGGCCTGTGCCAACAAAGGACTCTTTGTTTCACAGAAATTTTTATCATTTTGGGCAGGATTGTTTGACTCCAGTAATGGATGTAGAAGGCCTGCTCTTGCTTGTCCCTGTGAATGGGGAACCCCTTCTATGTGACATGTGGGAACTCTTCGAGAGAAAAGAGAAGTGTGTTTGCTTTTCTGATGTGCCT